GAGAACCAAGTGGAAGCATTCCCGTCGCCAGCATTTGTGACAGATGTCCGGCGGTACTTTGAACGCGTAGCAGCCCTTTCGGTTTTTCGAATTTTTTACCAAAACAAATGCAATTTTTTGTTCTTTTCGTTCTTATCGTGAACGATGGGTCCCAAGCCAGTGAATTATGGGTGAGATAGAATCACGATTTTTCCGAGAAGGATTCTTTTAACAAGTGAGATTGTCGTAGGGCGGTGCGCAAGCCCCGCCCCCACAGGCAGCGCACAATTGATTTCCATGGCCTTAGCAGCTTTCTTTTTACACCTTCGATGAACGAATTATCGTCATTTCCATCGATATTTTGATTTTGGAGACATCATATCTGTTCAGTCGCGTAGTGTGCTTCTGAGGAATGCTGATTTCGTGGTCACTCTCGCATAAGAAATTTATCTGAAAAATTTATCGCTATCGGTATCAGCTGTAGTACTGACTGTGTGATCATATAAAAGTATGAAGAGGTATTTTATGTTTTGTGAGTTTCGGGCAAACCAAGGAGTGGGTGAAAAGCGTGGTTACAAAAGTTATTGGCGGTCAGTCTGTGCACGTTACCTTGAGCCATGAGTAGTAGTGGGAGGTGAGGGCTTGATTAGCGTAATTTAGCGCCAATTTTTCTCTACTGCTCCATTCTTTCTCTAGTTCCGTGTTGATCGACACGCAAGCGTCAAGCGGTTGGAAGGGTGAGGAATAGATAGGCAGGTTTTGAGATTGAAAGGGGTCATATGATTGAAGGAAATGTCACCTTATATTTCACTCCAGAAAAGGGTTAACATGTTGGAAAAAACGACCTGTTATCTTCTCCGAAAACTTCTTATCAGTTGGTATCGCTTCAACCACAAAGGCAGTTCCCCATTCCATCACGTCCCTTGTCATGGCTTGCACGTTCAGATCCAGCCACCGTACCGTCCCGTGTAGCGATTTCTTGACACACATATGTGTACACAGCCAGACATGCTAGGAGAATTATTTTCAATGGTGCTATCAAGAATTCCGTATTGTCTAGTGATGATAGATTTCCTCCAAATCTGTGCCAGAAAATTTTTCATTTTCAGTCGATAGTTTGCTTAGCAGCTCACGTTCCATTTCTTCTGTAAAACATACATTCAGGAATGAAATGCCGCGTATGTGGAGATTCTCGAGCCGGTCGTCACTACGGTACTATTGCGTGTAATGGTTGCAAAGGATTCTTCCGAAGAAGGTATATGCTTC